TTGGAATTCTGATACTTGCTTGTGTGAAGGGTAAATCAAAGAACCTTAATACAAATTACAAGTCTCAAGGAAAGCGATGACGTATTTTGGCTTGTGCTACAGGGCCCAAAGAGTAGACAGATTAAAGGGGGACATTTGACTCTCCCTATGAATTACATTATTATTGTCACATCTGCAACCTGGACAATTTAAACTAAATTTCAGAAATTGCCTGATCATAAAATTTTATGTATTTTACAATGTATTATAAGAAGGAGGCACCTAAGCCCCCACGCATGCCTTCTTGTAGAACATGCATGATGCATTCACACTGCACTCCAATCCTGCCCATGAAAGATTGGGAAGAAATCTAGGCAACAATATCAGACGTCTGATTGGTGCTCATAAAAATACAACTGGCCTATTTTTGATCAATGGATATCGGATGTAGCCGTGTAGGACAAAAACAGGGAAGTTGTAACTGAATCACCGAAACTGTCATTGTATTTGTATAAATGATTTTCTTTGCACGTGGCGTCATCAGGTCATGTTTACTACAACTTAAGTACAACTAAAATCATGAAACTGAAATGTATCAATATCAATTAATATTTTTCCCTCATGTCAACAACTTCAAGTTACTATTTTAATAGACTGAGTATTAATTGATAGAGTAAGGAACCGTTACTTTTCCTAGTTCCAAGGCCACAAAAAGGTTTACCTCAAAGTACACAAACTCTTCGCTCGTACCTACGCTGATCACCCTCTTATCCAGTCTTCCCTGTAGTTTGGATTCGATCAGCGAAAAAAGGCGTCCAGAAATACAAGCTCCATGCGTGTACACTACTACATGTAGTACTACACCATGACTACAAACATGACAAAACTCATCCGAGTCACTTTACATTGTTCGCACTGTCTGACAGCCGATTTCAACCTTGGAAAAACAAACTCACCGTTCGAGCCATGAAGCGTTGAAACCCTCAGTTCAGACGATGTTTTTCAATCCGATGTCATCGGTCCACTCGAAAAACTGAGATGATTTTAAGGGTTCATCTTCTAGCTAGGTAGCCGGCCGATCACAACACAACAAACCGACATGACATGACAGCACTTTTCATGGGACAATAATACCGCGCGCTAATCGCTAGCGCTAGGCACGCACCATGCGTGCACCATTGCCGGGGATTCAACCATTAACAGATGGGGGAGAAGTCGAGTGTAATAATTTCAAATTTATCAAAAGTGAGACAAAAAAGCACCAGATCTTTATAAAAGTGAACATGCGATGCATGCAATCTTGTATATATTCCTTTGAAGTGTTGTAACTTTAAGTCATGTAAGTTTTGGTACATTTTCTACAGCAATTTCGAGGCACAGTTACATCACTCCCCCTTTTAAACTTGTAAATTAAAAAAAAAAAACACACACACACACAGACGTATCAAAATAATGCTTGCAAAACTTAACAACTTTCGAAAGACAACAAAATTAATACCAAATTACTATTTTATTCGATTTATCTAAAGCCCAAAGGTTTGATTTGTGCCGACAAATGTCTTTTCAGTATGTAACCTAGTAAATCGTAAGTGAATTTCTCATGATTCAACCTATCAAAAGTGGATAGATAGTTATTTCAGCTAATAGTTTCTTCCCTTAACAAAATATCTGAATCCACAGCGACAATGAGTCTGACGGACAGCCTTGCCTTAATCTTATACCATTGCAAACAATCAAATATTATCAAATATCCTTGCTCTTTTTAAAATTGAAGACTTACCGCAGGGACAAATTTAAACCCCTACCAATTACAGGAGACTTTCCAGTTGACCTCAATTTGAATCTTCATTTGTTTCTTTCCAAGCACTTTGCTATAGCATATAGGATGGGTTTCCAAATGAGGGGAAATACCATTGCTCTTTTATGACGCAAACCGCATGGACGGCAATTTCCGCAGCAAGTTCAGACAACATCGATCATCCACTGAGCGGCAACTTACAATATAATAAGCAAGGATACAATAGCTGAGTTAGTTTTCAAATGACTAACCGACATTTTCAGATTTGATTAGTTTTTTGCTTGTATGAAACATTTACGTCAAATACGCACAGAAGTGCACTAAAATTTGCAGGGCCTACGTGTATATTTGCAGAAGCCTAGAGGTAATTTTAACTTCATTGAACTTAAGTTTGGAACCATCGTCAACATTGTTTCATCATTGCGGAGAGAAACGATCAACGTTTTAGCGATCGCTTAAACTACAATCAATGCTGTTGTTGAAAAGTCTTATTTGCATTTGACAGACAATAATATTTGAAGTTTGGAGAAGATGGCGACTTAAACACGGTGGCAAAGTTAACCATAGAGATGAGGTCTAAATAATGAAATCCCCCTTTTGGCAGCGGGCGGCCGTTAATTCCAATTTCACATAATACAATCAATTGAAATTTCCCACCGATATGCGAAATAAGTTTCGGAGTGTCATTATGTAAAACAACTTACAATCATGGCGCAACTTTGTTGAGTTGATGATATTCTCTCGTGTGTGCAGTCTAAGCGAAGTTCAGAACATCAAAGTGGAAACCATGCAGAGACTTTACCGGGGAATACGATCATCAGTGCTTTTATGACACAGTTTCACTGGCACCCGTTATTTTTTTAAAAATCAATAACGGTCCTAACAGTTAACTGTAATAAAAGAGTTCCTCGATCTTTTGTTGCGCGCTTTCCTCTTGAGGACAAGATTACGGACTACATCATTGTGGGTCTCTGCAACCTTAATGTTGGCAGCACAATAGAATTGCGAGGCACTGTTTTAATCCGTATGGATTTGGGTTCAAACCAGCGTGGCTGGTGGCAATGCTATTGTTCAGGTTATTGAATAGGATTAAAGTAGGGATTATTGCAGTTCAGAGATTTATGGTTACGCCACATTGTTGCTGATTTGTGGAAACCACATGAAAAGGCCTCAGGTCCAACACATACAGCAGAGTCAGATTCATAACTACACATAACTTTCTTCCCAGTTCTGTTTTGTCAAAGGCATATTTTCTCAGTAAAAGTTTGCACAACAAACCCCAAAACAAACCCTCCCCGCCTTTTCTGATGTGCCGCTTATAACTCCCGCCCAAAAAATCATTTTCCATTTACTCTTTGTAAAATTTCCTACATGAACTGACCAGTAATTGCCATGGCAACTGCCGCATTAACCCTGACGAAAAAATTGTACGCGAATGAACTTTTCAAAATACTTGATTTAATGGACCATTGTAACCTATTAATAAAGCTTGACTCACATGTTTGTAATTTCGACAGGTCGAAAGGGCAGTCAATATGACCCTATCATTCTGATTAATGACACCTCGACAAACACCATAATTAGTGTCACCGCGGTGCCGCGGTATACTGATGTTTGTTGACCGAAATTGAGAAATTTGAAAAGCATTTTGATTAATGTTCTGATATCAACAGGACATAAAGTAAGTAATCACTTTTCAAAAAAGTTGGAGCGTCCAGGGAATTCTTTTGTGGTCGTAAGGTTGTTGCTTTGTATAATTCATTTAAAATATTTACGAGGGGGAACTTTTGTTATATATCAAACAATATATTTTTCTTTTTTCTCTTTAATTAGAAAATCCAGGACGCAGGAAGGCCAGCTATTTCTTGAAAAAGATAACAGATTTTTTTGGGCAAAATATAAATGCGGAACCAAAGCTAAGTAATGCTCAGTTAACTTGCAGTTTATAAATTAGAACTATTTGGCGGGAGAAATATCGTCATAATATCTCAGCGTGCGGTAATTTGTGGCAATAGGGGTATCACTCTACCGCCCTCATGCGACGGGCGCTGTGTCAATAGTCGGCAATGCATGCAGTGACATTTTTAACAAACAGCATGCGAAGGGGGCACATAAGAGTGTAAAAAAGTTATTCCGTTGATTTGATTGCAATTGGCATTATTTCTGTTACAGTTTCTTCACTTGACAACATGCTTTTATACCCACACCCCATGGTTATTCGGGTTGAAACTTAATGCGTACTCGAAATAGCGCCCTCATAATATTGCACTTGAGGGGTTGTGAAAAAGGAGGGTCCGGTTGTTCACCGGACTTTTTGTCTTTATACAGAAATTGGATAAATTGTGGCCAAAAAGTCGCTCTATATTACAATAGAGTGGATTGATCGTTTTCTTTTTAAATGGCGATAGGCTTCGGGACAACTTTTAGGGGAGATCGTATTTCAAAATCTCTAACCAAGTCACTGGTTTACAACATTGATTGAACAAAAAGTTATGATTTTCAAAACATTAAACTGAATGTTGCAGTACACCAAAATCCGTTTGAACAAGCACCATAATATACTTTAATCCAGTTGACCACTACCTATTACAAACGTTTACTTACGTAAATAAAGAAGCGCCTGACATTAAAGTCGTTTGTAAAAATATTATCGCGGGCTTAATCATTGATCGTGTGCAAAGACAATTAATATGGGTTATCATTCTTCTTCCCAACCTCAGGTAATGGCCATTTTTGTTTTCTGTTCATGACATTTTTGATTTGGTTAAAATAAAGTCGGTGTGTACGTGCTTTCTGGGTGTGACACCTTGACAAATAGTTCAGTTGAATTGATTACTTTCTAGCATTACACTGTTATGAGCTTTCCAATGAGACATCGCATGAAAAAAATCAACCCACGACAAGTAATCAATTAATTAATTTCAACTTTGAATTGAGAGCGGGACGCTCCTAATTCGTTCTTAAAGGGAAAATACAACATTTGCAAACATCAAAAAACGAAATGATCAAATTATAACGAAATATCTTACTGGATTGTTAGTGAATGACATTCAAAAGCATTCTGTAAAATCGTGGCTCCTGGTGTGCTGACATTTTCAAGAAAACTTGTATTTTTCCAACGCTGGTCGGCCGACCATCGTTGGAGAAATCTGGCTTTTTTTCAAAAATTGCTCCTAATTTTTTATATTCAGTTATTCCACATTTTCTTTGCAATTGATTTCACACCTGTGAAGGGGTACAATCCTGCTAGACTGATTCTCTGACCTTACAATTCCCCAAAGTCTGTAAATTGCTCCGTTTCATCTTAAGTGGGGTCAGGGAGCCAGACTACAAGAACAAAATTGGTTTACTTGCTTTTCCCAGCATTTACAAGCCCAAAAGATGAAACAAGTCAGTTTAACAATATTTTCTATAGCATACTAATCCTCCAAATCCATTTATTTCTGAAAATTAGAGCAAAACCAAATGTTGTATATCTCCTTTAATAGTGTGCACAATTTCTGAACTGGAGCGCGCAATTTACAGCCACCTTTTTAAAACAGTAAGCCTGCAAAAATTAAACAAGCAAATGTATTTGTTGCTGGACATTATATTCCTTTAAACTTCGTTCGGAAAAGAAAATCGAAATTTTGAAAAAGCATGCACGTAGGCCCATATACCAACTTTAAATTGCCTCAAGGCCCAATTTTCTAGTTTAATCTCAATTAAGAGTTGAGAGAATACCATGCATCGTCAGTCACAGATTTTGCTCTTTGTGCAATTTCTTCAACACAAAGTCGTCATTAAATCTGGGTGAAAGATCTACAATCGACAAGACAATGAGTCCTATTAATTAATTTTGTAAGTATTCTTTCAATTATTATATGTACATGTACCTTGACTTAAACATTTACTTTGTCTCATTGTTCATAATTGTTTGCACTGATTTTAGTTTGACTTTGAAATACTTTTTTATTTATTGACGACTGAATCAATATTACGAAGACTTTGTGAGGCGTGTTTTCTCTGCAATACCTTGACTTAAACATTTACTTTGTCTCATTGTTCATAATTGTTTGCACTGATTTTAGTTTGACTTTGAAATACTTTTTTATTTATTGACGGTTGAATCAATATTACGAAGACTTTGTAAGTCGTGTTTTCTTCGCAATTACAGATTAAGTAAACCAAATTTTTGCTTTGTTTAACGATAATTTGAGCTGATTACATAATGTGGGACATCATCAGTTCCAGGACGTCTGTATCGCGGAGTTTCCGTGGTGACTTAAATTGATTGACAGAGGCTGATGAGTTTGCCACGATGAATTCCTTCAGCTTGTCGAACGAGCCTGGCTTCACCTGGTGCACATGCGCCATGGCGAGGGTCGCGCTGTTGCGGAGGTAGTTGTAAAAATGGTGATGTCTCCGCAAAACTTGGTCAAACTGCAATAAAGACAAAGTAATTCAGAAATGACATTTTGTGATTTATAAGTCGATTGAGAAGACACCCTTGTCAAAGAAATGAACTCAACAAAAATGAGGATAAGCAGAGGTGAAACCTTCAAAGCACAAAAACACAACCATCACCCTAAAAACAGATTGGTTGAAAATAACCAATATACGTGTCCAACCAAACCGAGATTGGTTGGACACATATCTACCAATCCAACCAATTATATTGGTTATTTCAACCAATCTGTTTTAGGTGCACGTAGACCCAGAGCACTGGCAGATTTAGGAAGTCATCGTGAGCAGGGCCTGAGTTTCAAAGCTGGGCCCGAGTTTCAAAGCTAAAAGTAGTTAGTCAAATGGTGTGCAAAACTTGTATAATCTGCAGTGCTGTAGCTATTATAAAAGCTATACTCGTTTGCGTTCGTCAAATCCGCTCGACGCCAATTTAGAACTTTATAATGAAACTATACCTTTGGTGCCCATTCCGTTGTGTTCTCAAGTGGTGAAACGTTTTCCACTTCTATAAACACGAGATAGAAGATTTCGTAGCTGTCACCTGTGGGGAGAACAACGCAAACCCTTCTAGTTTAGGTAATCTCGTCCCCTTGTAACAAACTTTTCGGTTCTGCTAATTTGCACTCTTTATGGAAACGGAAGTGCATTTGTGGCCTATTTCTTTTGCATTGATATACAACATTACACGAAGATCTACTTCAATCAGAGTTCGACATGAATGTTGATGAGATTCGAAATTATTTTTACGATAATAATACCGAGTGAGATAAAATGAGATGTGGCTGTTGTTTTTTATCACCAACAAAGGTACAGTTGTATTTCTCAATTTGAAGACTTTCCCGGATTTGAGATTTAAACTAAAACTTTATAGGCTCCAAGCGTTCAGCCTGCAAATAAACTTTGTCATGAATGGCTGTAAAGAGTGACCAAACAAAATGTCAATTACTGGCCTATCAATAAATACGACTGCCCATCCAATCCAAGACGTCAGTTCTTCATCTAAACGGTTAATTGCGCAGATGTGATTGTAAATCGCACCAATTTGTTTTTCTTTTTCTGTTTATCTGCCTGCATAATATAGCGCGTTGGGAAAACAGGATTCGATAACCAACTTTCGCTACTTTATAAGGGAGCAGTTAAATGTATACCTCCTTTGGTATCAGAAAGCAGTGGACTTTCTGCACACGTCCAATTGACAAGTCTGGCTCCTGGAAGCTGGGACATGAATTCCTGCACCACCGTCTGCATGGTGACCGCCGTTACCTTCTCACTGCGAAGATTCAGCAACTCCGCTTTCCTGCGGGTAGGATGGGCAAGAAAAGGTTCATTAAAGGGAATGTACATCATTGGCTTTTGCTGTAATTTTCAGAAATGAACTATTTGAGAGGTTAGTATAATAGATCAAATATTGTTACACTGACATGTTTGAAGTTTTGTGTTCGAAAAGGTTGGAAAAACCAAGAGAAACAAAAATGTTCAAGAAGTTTGGTTCCCTGACTCCACAAAAGATAAAATGGATCAATTTATAGATGATGGAAAATTGTAAGGCAAGGGAACCAATCTAGCTGGCCTGCACCCGTTCATGAACATGTAACCAATAGCAAACAAAATTTGGACTGAAAAAAATGGTAAATTTGGAGCAGTAGTTGAAAAAGTTAGGTTTTTCCAACGCTAGTCGGCCGACCACCGTTGGAAATGTTAACAAAAATACCATTTTCTTGAAAATGACTTCACACCAGGTGCCATAATTTTAGAAGATGCTTGAGACTGTCATTTACCAACATCCTAGTAAGGTATTTCGTAAAAACTTGGTAGTTTTATTTTTCGATGTTTGCAAATGTTGTATATTCCCTTTAATTTTGACTGCGAGAGGGAATTGTCACCGCTTGAGGGCAGCAGGCATGTTTGCCTCACTTCATCAAGTATTGTCGGACATCTAGTAGTATAGTACAAGTTTCGAGAAAAACGGAGTTTGACGAATTCATTAATCATGCTGTAACGAGTCACTGAATTTTGTGATCTAAGTCACGAAATTCAGTGACCTTTGATTCATGGAGTCTTCTGACGAGGGACTTGAGTCGAGTCAATTACTTACAATGACTCGAGTCGAGTCGAATCAGTTTCACGTTGGGACTCAGTCGAGTTGGGACTCGAGCCATTGTCTCGAGTCGTTACAACTCTGCCATGTAGACCTCGCGTAGTTCTAACGAAAATCATCTCGGGAATACTCTGATTTATCCCGTAATAAATGTTCTTAAGATATTGACAAATTGCCACCTGCAGTTCGTGGTCTTATTATAGTTTGCATCACCCACCTGTATTCGAACTTAATGACCGGGCATTTCTCGTGGATGCCCACAACCTTGACCACGTCGCCATTCCGGTAGCGGTACAAGCCACAGCGAGTCGTGAGTACGAGTTCGTACGTCTGCCCAACTTCCACCTCGTCGATCAGCAAAGTTTGTGGGTTTTCGTCTTTGCTAACGTAACAAAAATAAAACAGCAAGTACGATGATATTATACAAATAATGAATGTTTATGAGTGCAATGGTAAGAATAATTTCATGAGGTGACGGATGAAATGTTCCATTCCACGAGGCGAAGCCGAGTGGAATGGAACATTTCATCTGTCACCGAATGAAATTATTCTTACCATTGCACGAACGTGAAACATTCATTATTTGTTTTATATAACACCTGAATAAATCCTCGTCATCTGATTGGTTGACTTTTAATAGCCAATTTATTCAAGTTCAAAATTGTTTACAAGTTTGACAAGTTCAGAGTTATCATATTTAATTTATGCAAACTGTTCAACAATTTAAAACTTGTCCATAAGTTTAGAACTTAAACAGTTCAATAAGTCCAGAACTTTTATTGCCAATTTAAACACCACAGCGCCACCTTTGGCAACATGTGCAGTGACAGTGCAATGGTACTTCTAATCACAGTGCAATGGTACTTCCATTGCACTGTGCGCTGCGCGCCACGTGCGCGCCGTGCATTGGTACGAATAACATAGATATAGAACTTAAAAAACTAGAACTTAAAAAACTAGATCGGACGCGCGTATGATATGCGCGTTTTCGACAGGACGCTGCCATTGGTCACGTGAATAGGGTCAAAAATTTAAACACGCATTTCTTCGGCATGACGATCACTTGTACTCCATCACTGCTTGCAAATGGTGGCAATCTGTGCGGCAGCAAAGTTCAACTAAGACGGAGAAAGGGACCCGGAGGACAGTCTCTCAAGAAGTTAACATCATGTGTGAGTAACTTAATACACAGAATTTATCTCTTGAGAGTGCATTTCGAACAAGACAGCTTTTATAAAAATTAACTTAATATAGGCTACGCCTACGTTACGCAATGCCAAATGGGCATAAATCACAGGAATGGGTGTGGAGAAAAATCCCAATGTGTGATCCAAAGGATCCTCCGAATTTTGTAATAATCGCGCAGGGCCTACTTAAAAATATTTTCAGTGCATTGTTTTAAAAGTTAAGATGGTACTCCTGATCCTGAACATCGAATAACAATTATTTCTGGCCTAACATCACCCTCCCCTCTCCTGCTTTTCAATAATAGTCCGACTCCGCGGGGGTACGAGGATTGGGAGTCACTTTTTGTTGTGGGATGTGGGTGATTAAAGAAAATGCACCATTCTCCTAGTTTGAACACATCAATGAGAAATATTCCAAATGGCAGCAAATGGAATCCAACAAAGCACGATCGTCTTTGCAGCGACCATTTCCCTGCAGAGTGCTTCAAGGGGGAATGGGGGGAAAACACGTCTGCGTGTCGATGCCGTACCGTCAATCTTTGAAGACTACCCGACTCATTTGAAGCCTGTAAGTATTACAATGAGCCTTGGGGCCAGGATAGGCTATCGATAATTACTGTCATGTATTTAAAGGCCTAGCATGTGCTTTATTTGTTTTATTTCGTAGGAAGACTACAGTCTCGTGTATGGACTTCAGCACGAGAGAGAAAAGCTGCCAACGGCAAGGAAAGAACCGACCCAAGCCCCCGTCGAAGATATTGCTTCAGTGCATGGCTGTACCGGCAAAACAAACATCAGCGATAGAGCATGCATACAGTCTACCACCAGAAATGGATCTACCCTCGGAAGTAGCAGGAAGGCTATATAATCCAAGCTTGAACAGGAAAACAGACAACTCCGGCAGGAAAATCGACGATCATGTCGAAAAAGATCTTATCCGTCAGAGAGGTGGTAAAAGGCCTGTAAGAGGAGCAACTTGTTACTCCAGAGACGGCCGACCAGATGGAAACACAGTTTCCTATCCTGCAATTGGAAGTCACTTTGCTGGAGCTGGGAAAACTGCGCCTTGCTCAACGAATCACAATCATAGTGATGAAGAAGTTTGCACTGCTCGACATACAAAAGCGTACGTCTTCGTCAGAAAGAAGATTGCACTGCCGACTGTGCGTACAGTGAGGAGATAGCTGGCCACGCATGCATAACTGGGCCTCGTGCGTGGACCATAGCTAAAATTTAACAAGTTTCGCTTAGTATTTCGTTATCGTCTTATTGTTGCTCCTCAGAAATTGAAAGATTGAATAGCCCTCTGTTTGCGTTCATGCATATGAGGAAGATATATTGGATTACTTATTCTGGTTCATAAATTTATGGGAAGCAATACTCACCTGCTGGTAGTTGCATAGGCTAGACCTTCACATAAATATTCGGATGGTGACAACCAAATGTATTTTTTTCATGAGCAATGATATTCTTGACATCTTGATTAAATGGTTGATATGGATATGGAACTGCCATTTCATCAGATTATTTATTAGCTAACGAGTAAGTTTTCACTGTATATAAATTGTTTATTACCTAAAAGTTATTTAAGTATTAGTTTGTTCAGTACTCACAACAGATGGCCAGAGACTTGTTTTTGTAGTCATCCATTCATTTCAAATGTAATGTTCCTATTGAGGTTAGCAGTATTAATTGATGGCCCATTGAAAATCATCTGTCAGGTGACATGGCTACCATCTGTAAATAAAGCTATAATTATTATTAAAGCAACGCAATATTTCGAGTGCCCGTTTTTATCGTTGCTCATTTACAAAACGATTTTCTGTTATTTCATTTTGATGTTGGTAAAATTAAAAGTTTATGTTTTGTCTGATAGGCAAGTAACGGTTGAGTTTTATTGCACATTTTAAAAAAGAGGGGGAAATCTCATGAAACAGGTTGACATTTAACTACGCTTTTGACATTTGTGTGAACACAATGTGGCTACTTTTCGGTACAAATTAGTATTCTTGGCTGAAAATCAATTACCTTCAACACAGTCGCCAATTTGGCCCCAAATAAGACACAGAGGCAAACTCGTGTGTAACTTTTCAAAGGAATATGAAATGTCACATTGTCAAAAATCGTCGTTAAAAATGTCAACCTGTTGTTAAGAACTTCAACGCATAGCTGAATTCAGGTGTGGGTGTTGCCGATATTTTTTCCGTCCAGCATTCACCAGCTGCCCTTTGCGCATGGCCCTATTCACGTGACTTTGCAGCGCGTCCATGAAGAACCCAGAAGTTTGGTGCACAGTGAATGGCGCGTTCAAACGCGCGTCCGATCTAGTTACATTAAGTTCTATATCTATGACGAATAATTCAATGACATGTGATCAACGATCCACCAATCAGATGACGGGGATTTATTCAGGTGTTGTATAAAGATTTTTAGAAAGCAGAAACCTTCAAAAGACAAGATGACAGTTTCAATGGGAAAACGACAAATAACCGACGATTCCAGAGACTTTGGCGGATCTTTTGTGGGATAAAAAAACTATATATGTATTTTTCCTTTTTTTAAGGGGGGGGGGGAGGGGAATGCTATTTCCTGGCTTACTTCTCGAGAAACATGAATAGTGAGTGCCAAGGCCCCCGAACGAAACATTTTTCGATGTTGTTACTGTTTTTGAAGTTTTGTATGAACTGAAAATGGAACTGACTTACCAGTTTTCCTCGCGAATGAACTCGTATATATTTTCGTTGACGAGCAGGCTATACTTCGCTTGCGGATCAGTCGGCCACAAATTCATTCCAATGCAGGTCTCCGTACACATGTATATTCCTTGGTAAATTGGCGTTCCTGCAAATGGAACACAAAGGATACCAATCACGAAACTCTGTGGTGAAGCCATTGTAACAGCCTGCCATACATTTTGTCTCCGTGACAAAAAGGGAAAGACTTATGCACCTATCAAGGGTTAGTGTTCCCCCCGGCTGCCCCACCAAAGACGTGGGGATTGTCACTTTTGAAGTGACAAAATGCCTACTATTCCCCTCGGGCAAAATTTGTAACTGTCTCCGACATATACGTTGGGCGGGGTAGTGATTGCCTTTTCATGTAGTACGCCAACTGTAACAATGTTTTGGAGTGACCAAAATCCCCACCCCTGGGGCATGAAAACGTGATGTAACCGGGGAGAGTGGAATTTATTAGTTTAAAATGTGGCACTCAACATCGGACCTGGGGCAGCAGGGGGCATCTGTTTGAATTAGGCGCATTACTAAATCTTTGCAAATTTAAAATGAATGTCAGTACTTCAAATTAATGGGGGGGGGGGGGGGCGGGGGAATGTGCAACCGACACTGATTGCTTTCATGATAATTGCTTGCCGTTATTATCGACGAGATGTTGAATACCTTTCGTGTAGGTCTTGTCCAGTTTAGTTCGAAATCCACCCATTTCAACGGAGAATATGTGCTTGAAGTTGGGCCACATCCTCGAAACGATCCCGACAAATCCCTTGGAAAACTCGGCGCGGAGTTCCCCAGCTCTCTCGGGATTTGGAGAAAGAGCGGCATTCAAATCACGCCGAATCTCGTCCGATATCGCGAGCTCCGGGTTAAGTCTCCCCTTGGTGATGTCATCGAGCAGGGTCTGCCAGTTGTCCTCGATCAGTTTCATTGCTCTGTACACCAGCGCCGTGAAAGGGGCGAGGAACGTCCCGATATGTCTATCCCGGAGGGCAAAGAGGAGGTGGACGTAGTTTGCCTCAAAGTCGGTGGAGATCTGGAATCCAGCAGGCGGTGTGTTACTCATGTCCAGGGTAAACTGGTCACTGGGCGAGACAAAGAACAGCGGCGAGACGACACGACCAGATTTGGTCTGATTCAGGGTAGGTTTGCAGTACAAGGTGCACCTGCGCTGCAGGGGACTCGGCCGGCCGAAGGCTTCATTGGCCGGGAAGACTACCTCCGACAACGAGAACCAAATCACGTTTGTTCGTGATGCCACGATCGGGATCAGCTTACCGACTCCGGTTGTACCGGAGGTGATACCAAATCTGACGACCTCCTCCCCGACACACACGCCTCGCTCCCCGTCAGCCAGCCTCTGCATGTACTCCCTGTAATCCTCGTAGGAAGTCAGGGGATGTTTCCTCTGAAGTTCGGCGACATTCTCTATGTCTCCCAGGCGGAACTTCAGTCCGTACTCGGTCTCGGCGTCTCGGGCGATGAGTTGACGCAGAAATGTCTCCTGGGCACGCTGCGGGCTTCTCCACTCTCGTCTCAGCTTGGCTTTGATGAATGGGTAGCGCAAGGAGTAGACTTGGTTGCTCACGTAGCATCTCAGGAGCGACGGCAGAGTGTGGTCTGGAGAACACGGGATGATGCTCATGTGGAAAGCAAACACGGAGGCCAACAGGAGGAGACTTGCTACCAGTCCTGGTCGAAAGAAAATGGCGGAATTCATGAGGAATACAAGACTGCGTCCTACGAAAGCGGTCGTGTTAGTGTGTTAAGAGCTGCCAGATGCAGCTAGTTATTCAGATGCAACTTCAAATCGGCAATCCCGACAATAAAATATGGATACAACTAATATAATACTGGCGTACATTATATATGACATTCTCATTGAAAATAATGAGAATGACAGCCATCATAATTATCTCTAAAAAATTAAGACACTGAATATATTTTATTTTAAACTTTGAACTTAACCCGCAAAACATACTCCGCAAAACTGACCCAATGCCAGTAGGCAAGCAACATCCACGTGGGACAACATAGGCAACATGTCCACAGTCTTCAAACTGACACTTTTTTTCTCCGGAGTAGAAAATCATTCATTCAATTGCATTAATGTGTGTTGTCATTTCCCCAGCTACATTTCGTATAAAATCACAAAGAGATAACCGTGAAGTTTCCAGGGTTCGAAACTATCGGTAGCCCGCTTGCCCCGCTAGCCAAATGCTAGTCAAAACAGCGGCGGGCTAGTCAAACTTGTCCTTAACTAGCCCGGCTGGCGAGTGAAAAATTATTGGGATACGGCAAAGATGAACGTACAGGAAAAAAATTAATCATTAAATTCAGAAAGAAAACCCCATCAATTTGTGTCTAATTTTATCAACTGTTTTAAAGGGTTAAATTATTAGATCTGTTAATCAAAAACACTGACAAAATTGCCTCAGAATTGAGCCTGAGAATACGCCATTTTGTATTTGAGATAAGAAAAAAATGCAGGCTAGTGAAAATGCCCGCGGGCTAGTTAAGAGTCCGTTTCTAGCCCGGCTGGCTAGTGAACAAAAAAAGTTAAGGTCGAACCGTGCCGTTAACCGTTCGAATCTCTTGACATCATGTTCAACTTTGAGCCTGCAGGGTTCAATGACAATTTAACAATTAGGTCAGTTTGTTTTCAGATACAAAAAAAATATGAAGTAGATCAGGGTTCGGAATACTTCAAAGTATATGCCGCTGAAAAGGTCACGAAGTGTAGACATGGCTGGCTACATGTTTAGTTAGAACTTTAAGTCTGTATGTGCCTTTGTATACAAAACGTTTCGAAGGACATTTTCATTTGCAGATTTATTGGTTTATCGATCATAAACAACGGGCGTTATCACTGGACCCGATAAACAATGGGATAGTTTTCGTATCATCAGTTGTCGAATTTTCTATGAAATGACTGTCCAGTAATATACATGTATGTAAATACTATATTATGGACAATTGGTTTGGTTAAAATACTTCTTGAGATGGATTTTGTTTGGTCAAAACTTGTCTGTATCTTTTGAATAATCTGTTGCGGGTTTCAACCTTTCCAGACAACTTCCTGTTTTGGTTTTAGAAACAAAAACAAAGTTTAACTGTGAAATAAAAGAATCGTAACATCAGATGGTTTGGGTCCAGCATTCTGCACAGTTTAGGCCCAAGTTATAAACGATTTTCATCACTTCTAAAACCAACCTTAAAGTTAAACTTATCATAGCTACAGCCGACAAGCCGTATAGCCGTATACACAATGGTCTATAATGTCTCTCTATACACTTACCCAACAGACAGCTTCTCATATACAGACCCATGTTGGCGGAGTCGACCAACAAGCGGATCAGCCAAGCACCTACAAATGCCAGCACGGTGCCTGCCAGTCTGAATCTACCGCCCCACTCCATTGTTACGTAACGGTCGCGTCAAACTTAAAAACTTCTGAACATTAAATGCACCGATCGCTAATGAGTTCGAGGAGCCGCGAGCAAATGGTGAGCTGTGTACTTTGTATTTGATAAAGTTCGTTGGTCCAATATTAATTTATGCACGCATGCGAACTGTGGGAGTCAACATGGCGATGGGCTTCACGACCGCTTTTAAAGGGGTGATCTAAAATTTGATTTTTATTCCCCAAAATGTCATCGGCTAACCCTTCCCCCCCAAAAAATACGATCCAATCTATTTTATTGATATTTTGACTGACAGCATTTTTAATTAAGACTATTTTTAATGCAGTATTTTTAATTTGATGTGTGTCTCAAACACCTTGGAGAGTTCTGAGTATTTTGGAAGTGGGTGATTTTAACTTATTTTTCTTCAAACCTTAGACTCATCTCGCCTCGAGTCAGCGCCTGTTCAAAGTTACTCCCGTTGTTCAGTAATACCCTGTAAGTCGAAGAAAAGAACATTGCATGTCTTTATGCAGCAGTAAATTAGTTGCCATGAACCAATGGTAAAATCCCCCCCCCCTCGGTCAAAAAAGTGTTAAAGTGTGTTCAAGTCAGTGGAACTAGGACTTTACAAAATATCAACTACAATGAATATATGAAATCTGCTCAAAATCGTAAAGTTTAAAAGCTCCAGGACATATGGAACAAAACAGTACTGAATTTTAACTAAAACATATTTTTTGACATAAATGCTTGAAATTTAACCTTTCTAAAACGTGTTTTAACAACCTAACAGATACGTTACCACTATTTTATTTATAGAAAAGTTGTCTTTGAAACAAAAACTGGGAAGGCTTAAGTCAATATGAATTTCGGAGCTACACATTGTGAAAGACGGACTAAAAATAGAGGGATTTGAGTGACAGTATTTGACAGGTACATTGGAAATCATCGTGTTTTTTCTAGATTGTGAAAACAAGGCGCATAAATTGTCTGTCTCGATTTGCTATGCACATAATTTCAGTTGCTACATCTATCACTTTGCATGTTGCAATTTCGCATTTATTTGCCATAAACTAATAATTAGTCATTATCATTTCGATGAACAGGTAATTACACAAATATTCCCATGAGATTGAGATAGTGAGATCCACAATGCCAGGCTGCTTTGGTAACATCTGGCAAATCAGATTTATAATTAAAACACCATATACGGGATGACGTAGTAAGCAGCACTTACACAAAACTTTATAGCAGCTGCTGTAATCAACTTATATTAAAATGATGTTGTTGAAAACACCACGCGCTTCATACACCAAAGTTGTTGTCAAAATATAAAAATGTGTAAACCCTGTAAACGAACAAAGTTGGGGGTGGGGGTTCCCATGGGCATCGCCTGCCCCTCCCCCCCCCCAACACTTTACGACTATTTCTCCTGCATTTTAATTTGAAAACTTAATTTAGGAAGTATGGTATCCATTCTATTATTTTGGCCAAATTTACATCTTTCAAAACATTAGTCAGCGTGGGGGGGGGGGGGGGGGAGGGGTCCCGCTACTGATCTTGTTTATTTTTTATAGGCTGGAGACTGGTTTTTCACTATCAAAGAATCATTTTCCAAATCGCTCCGTTTCGTAATCTAAAAGTGCCAAACATATTTATCAGCAGAATGTTAGGTCCCGTATTAAACGCTATTTACATATAATTTATATATCTACATAAATTACCCACGCGCAGTGACGTTTTGTCAATTATATTCAAGTTTTAAAGCCAATTACCGCTAACCGAATTCATTTCAGTAATATTGGAGGTAAACTGGCACCGATAATTTATTAATATTTTTTTTTGTTTTTTAATGATTTATTAATATACCTCCAGAAATTTAATCTAACGTTAGGCGGCCAGCTTTAAAGTGGAAAACTCTGAATTGTTTTCAAAGAATCGCCATTATATTAAACAGTAGAGATGTAAGAGGCGCAATAGTCATTTTTAAAGTTGTTTGATATTTGAAAAAAGTGCAAAATGGTCGCAGGGGGTTGATGCTTCGCAGACGAAATGTAGCGCTCTCTGACGATCTTACTCCAACCACACTCCAATCTGCGAAGCAATCAACATTTACATTACAATACTACGCTATTTACATATAATTTACATATCTACATAAATTTCCTAATAATTAACCCTACACCCAACTAACCTAACTAACTAGGCCTACACTACTGGATTCGAACCCGCGCTGGTGACCTGATGGGCTGGCCACTGTCCTGGACTTATACTACTATAGAAAATTGGCCTGATAAATATGACATGGCCCTCATTTTGAAATTTGGCTAAAACACGGCAAAATTGTAATTCAACGTGCCCATATTGCCGTGCGAAAACAGTCTGAATACTCAAAATACACAATTTCTGAATTAAAAACGAGAAAGAGTTTTTTTCGTTGCGCAATAGTCAAAATGTTAGCGATGAATAGTCAAAATGTTAACGATGGTCGCAAAAATCGGCTGCGGACGAATCGCAAGTACGAATTCGATTTGGTGTAATCCGAATGTTGTTTAGATTTTTAAGGATCGAGATTATTGCAGTCGATTGAAATTTGGCGTCATTGAAAATGAGCATTAAGTTGACATTTGTGAACAAGGATGCACTCTCACACAATCACGAGAAATCCCGTCGACCGTGAAACGTGATTGTAGAATATAACTGCTGCGACCGTTTCGTCAAATTTTGCCACATTGAAAATTGTCGTCTTATATTTCAGGCATTGGCTATTTGATAAAATCCAAGATATGTGTGAAATTTTCAGTCCTAATTAAACCTCGCGCCAAAATGTTAACAATAAAATAATCAAAATGTTAACAGTGAATGTAAAAATCGGCTACGGACGAATCGCATGTACGAATTTGATTTGGCGTAATCCGAATGTTGTTTTGATTTTGAAGGATCGAGATTATTGCAGTCGATTGAAATTTGGCGTCATTGAAAATGAGCATTAAGTTGACATTTGTGAACAAGGATGCACTCTCACACAATCACGAGAAATCCCGTCGACCGTGAAACGTGATTTTAGAATATAACTGCTGCGACCGTTTCGTCAAATTTTGCCACATTGAAAATTGTCGTCTTATATTTCAGGCATTGGCTATTTGATAAAATCCAAGATTTGTGTGAAATTTTCAGTCCTAATTAAACCTTGCGCCAAAATGTTAACAGTGAATGCAAATATCGGCTACGGACGAATCGCATGTACGAATTTGATTTGACGAAATCCGAATGTTGTTTTGATTTTTAAGGTTAGAGATTATTGCAGTCAATTGAAATTTGGCGTCATTGAAAATGAGCATTAAGTTGATATTTGTGAACAAGGATGCACTCTCACACAATCACGAGAAATCCCGTCGACCGTGGAACGTGATTTTAGAATATAACTGTTGCGACCGTTTCGTCAAATTTTGCCACATTGAAAATTGTCGTCTTATATTTCAGGCATTGGCTATTTGATAAAATCCAAGATTTGTGTGAAATTTTCAGTCCTAATTAAACCTCGCGCCAAAATGTTAACAATAAAATAATCAAAATGTTAACACTGAATGCAAAAATCGGCTACGGACGAATCGCATGTACGAATTTGATTTGACGAAATCCGAATGTTGTTTTGATTTTGAAGGATCGAGATTATTGCAGTCGATTGAAATTTGGCGTCATTGAAAATGAGCATTAAGTTGACATTTGTGAACAAGGATGCACTCTCACACAATCACGAGAAATCCCGTCGACCGTGAAACGTGATTTTAGAATATAACTGCTGCGACCGTTTCGTCAAATTTTGCCACATTGAAAATTGTCGTCTTATATTTCAGGCATTGGCTATTTGATAAAATCCAAGATTTGTGTGAAATTTTCAGTCCTAACTAAACCCCGCGCCAAAATGTTAACAATAAAATACTCAAAATGTTAACAGTGATTGCAAAAATCGGCTACGGACGAATCGCATGTACGAATTCGATTTGACGTAATCCGAATGATGTTTAGATTTTAAGGGATCGAGATTATTGCAGTCGATTGAAATTGGCGTCATTGAAAATGAGCAGTAAGTTGACATTTTGTGAACAAGGATGCACTCTCATACAATCACGAGAAATCCTGTCAATGGGAACGTTATTTTATAATATATTGAAGTTGCGAACGTTTTCGTTATAGTTTGCTACATTAAAAATTGTCGTCTTACGTTTCAGGCATTGCATATCTAATAAAATCCAAGGCTTGTGTGAAATTTTCAGTTAGTAACAAAACCTCGCGCCAACACGAAATCTCGGAAAGTAACGCGCTACGCGTAATTTCAAATTGAGGGGCATGCGCTTGCGTGCCATTAAATATAGGCCCGAAATTGCCTAGGCCGGCTAAATAATATTTTTTGATGTGTAGCCGAGCATTTTGTGGGCCATGAACTTGAGGATTTGCAATTAAGGGTGCAAGCCGTGAACGGGACTGCCTAATCGTATTTCTGTGAAATTTGGATGGAATTTGGCCTTAAATTCCTGTAGTGTGCAATGTAGCGTACATATAGGCATTATTTTACAACATTGGGATGGCCTCAAGGACCGCTTTTATAGGGGTTATCTTCGCATGGATTTTCCCCAAATGTCATAGGTACCCCCATAAACAAACAGAAAATAAAGAACATTGCATGTCTTCATGCAGCAGTAAATTAGTTGCCATGAACCAATGATACAATCCCCAGCCCCCCCCCCCCCGGTCAAAAATGGTGCTCCATTCTTTCGGCTATTTTCAGGGGGGGGGGGGTGTCTTACTTTCAGAAAACGGGGACGGGGTAAAATAAAGGGAGTTCGGGGATTGAGTCCAAAGTCGGGGAGGGGGTGGGTTTGAGTCCATAGTTGGGGGTGGGGTTCCCATGGGCATCGCCTGCCCCCCCCCTCCCGCCCCCCGCCCTCCCCCACCCAACACTTTACGACGATTTCTCCTGCATTTTAATTGGAAAACTTAATTTAGGAAGTATGGTATCCATTCTATTATTTTGGCCAAATGTACATCTTTCGAAACATTAGTCAGCAAGGGGGGGGGGGGGGGTCCCGCTACTGATCTTGTTTATTTTTTATAGGCTGGAGACTGGTTTTTCACTCTCAAAGAATCATTTTCCCAATCGCTCCGTATCGTAATCTAAAAGTGCCAAACATATTTATCAGCAGAATGTTAGGTCCCGTATTAAACGCTATTTACATATAATTTACATATCTACATAAATTACCCACGCG